GTATGAACCCAGTTGCAACTGAGTAAAAAGATTTGCATGCACAGAATAAATTCAGGAGTTGCTTCAGAGGTTATGTCCCACTGTGCTCAGAAGTTTTTTTACATCAGGGTGACCTATGTCATCAGGAAGAGCTGCGTGAGCGTGGCTGGGCTCTGAGATGTTTTGGTGATGTTCTGGACATCTCACCATACTGCTGCGTGCCCTGTTGTGACCACCCGTGACCTGTTTGCCCATCAGTCCTGCTCTTGGGTCACGCACACCAGATGTCACCATTCAAGCACTGGAGAGCTGCTGGGTTCTGCCTCTTGTATCTGGAGTTAACAAGCCTGGCAAGTATACGGGGCATCATTTTCCAGCAAGCTCTGTACTATATCCAGCCATTATACTTACAGATGACCCAATACTAATCTCTTAGATTTTCTTGCCCTCTAGGCAGAGGCAAAGATGAATTTCCAATACCCAGAAAACACACATCCAGCACTGTCCTGTTCACGCAACAACGAGCTGGATGGCATTGACCAGCTCTTTCTCAGAGCTCATCCACAACAAAACAAGAAACTAAGGTGAGAAAGCCCATGACTCCTAGTAGGGGACAGCCAAGGCAGCCAGGAGCACCTTGCTTCAAAGGTGCTACCAGACACAAGGGCTGCAAGAATCTGACCCTCAGCCCCACAGCTAGTTGGCTGCTGTTCTGAGAGCCCTCTGGGTATGGCAGAGCAGGGTTAAGCATCACTGTATGGGCTCTTAATTTGTGTTTTGTATTGCCTGGGGAGGTGTACAGCCAGTTTTTCCTTTTATTGCTCCTGCAGGACACTGCCACATTGAGCAGAAATTGCCCATTCTGAGTTCTCAGTTTGCTGGGCAGGCTCCAAACAGTAGCATCCATCAGTGAAAATGCTGCCTTTCTTTCCTCTGGCTCCCTGAAGAGCTTACACCCCAACCAGCCAATGCTTTGAGTGTACAGTACAGCAATTGATTTTGCACAATTGTCCCTCCTGCCCCAAAACTCCTACTCATCCACCATGACGTGCCCAGCCCAGCTCAGCGCAAATTCAAAAAAAAAAAAAAAAAACCCAAACCAAAAAACCCCGCACCACACAATGTCCTTATGGAGAGCTGCTCAGCTCTTGTTGTATAGTTCTAGCACAAGGAGTATGGTACATTTTGATCATGCAGGGAATTAATTCGGAAAACTGGTTTGCTGTCAGGTTTATCTTTGTAAATCTGAGCAAACTGTTTTATTTTTCACTAACAATCTCATTTGGATACTATTTTTTCAGTGAAATCCTAGCAGAGCTTTCTTCACGTCACCATAAATCTTAGGAAGATTTTCTTTGTAGTAAAATCTTTGTCAGTGTATTTGCAAAACCACTATTAACAATACTGCAAAAACATATGAAGTATAAAACAGGCAACACGTTGCAAAGCACAAATTACAAAAAAACCAAACTTTCCCATCTCCTTAAATGCCTGAAGCTTATGGCAAAACTGCATGGATGGCACAGTGAAGGTCAAGCATGTTCACACAAGAGATTTTAGATATAGAAAGTGCTGTTAAAGCTTGTTACTTTTTAAGGCCTGTCTTGCCTTTTCCTTGGTTAGACACCTGTGTTCTTACAGCTCCATGAAACAGCCGGAGTTACCGTTCTGATCAACAGCAGCACCGCACATCCCACTCAATTCTTACCGTTTTCACAAGCTGTTGCACCAGGCTCCTTCCTCACCTCCGTTTTCTCCTGTTTATTCTGATTATACTGCTAATGAGACACTTGTTTCCTGACCTCTGGCCTCTTGACAGCCTCATGCAGCCCCTGTGATGTTAAATGAAATAAGGCACAGCAGCAATCCAGCAATGAAACCACTGAAATCAATCTCTGCAATCTAGGTGGGCTTCATTAATATTTTTTTATTCTGGGCAGCACAGGAGAGAAGGTAGAAGAGAGGAGGTATCACGCCTGGTGTTTGCCAAGATCGGAGTGGCACACTGGAGGTGGTATACTGAAATTTGGTGTGAAAAAAACGGTATCTTTGCAGCCATGATAACAAAGCAATAGCTGCTTACTTTTCTTGATTTACAGGATCAGTAACGAGTATCAAGATTTTTAAAAATGGTAACATTAACATCTGGCTCAACATCTGGCAAACCTAGAAGCTAAGAGGCAAGAAGAAAGAACTAAGATGAAGCTGTTCTGAGTTGCTGGTGGAGTTGTTTGTAAAGCCCAAAGATAGTTTGGGGGCAGAAGTCACTGTAGCAGCAAGAGAAGAAATGAAATGAAAAGAGCAAGAGACCAAGAAAAGAGATAATTGTGAGAGCTTGGAAGGGAAGGGCTGGGGAAGGGGCTGCGTTTGTTTGAGGAGCTCATCAAGGAGGGATTCACAATGAGGGAGCAGGAGCAGGCTCAGTCAGTCCAAAAGGATGATGGAAATGGGCATGTAACAGCAGTTCATGGAGGTGAAAGCAGACACTAGTACTGTGAGGTGAGGAACCTCCACAGCTTCTGTTCATTGCCTTCTTCATCCTCCAGCTGTGCCTCACTGCTTGCACTGTAAGGACTAGTCATGATTTTGTTCCACTACAAGGGTACCTTATCTTTCCTACTGCCTAAGTCTTGCTATTAAAAATTCTTGGGTTTGTAAGAGTCCAGAAGCGATCGACAACCCATGAATGCAGATAGCTTTAGATCTCCAGACTGAATCTATCAAAAGTGTCATGGCTTTTTCTGAAGCACTTGAAAATGGTGGTTATCATTTGGGCAGGAGCACTCTGCAGCCTGAAAAGGGTGGATAATGGGATCTATAAAATAATTTGACTCTCGATGGGGAACACAGGTATTCTTGGCTGGCTTTCCCTAGGGGCCCTGCCAGACAGTGTGGGGAAAAATCCCGCAGTCTGTAGGTCTCTGAACAGCACAGGAGTAGAGGGTGCGTATAATACCAAGTGCATACTTGGAAGAGATCTCTGTCCTCTTGTGTGGAAGCAATGACACAGTGAAGTGAGAGTTTTGTTTAAATGCATCTACTTCATGGCAGGTACCCCAGTAAACACATGGAAAAAACTTGGTCGTTTTGTAAATCACCTATGTAGACAGATAAAACTTCTGCCTTTTGTTAGAAACACTCCAGTGTGAACTGGTCTTGACAGAACTGTTAGCTGAATCCTTCAATCCCTGTTTTCTTGGAAAGGGAAGGACCTTTTTGGGAGCATTCTCTTCAGACTAATTTCTCCTTCTACTTGTGTGATGTTTGGTTCTATAGAAGCAGCCGCACACTGGATGGCTGGAGTCCGTCCTTAACATCTCTCTGATGCACCCTCTTAAAAAGCATCACGGTGCCGTGGATTAAAAACATTGTATAACTCAATTCCTGCAGACACACATGGTGGGGCTAAGAGTGGCAACTTTTTCTCTTTGATTCTCATGCGCTGCTAAAAATAAAGTAGTTTTAATTGCTTCATAGTCCTAAGGTGAAGTCTCCCATTAGCAACAGCTCCAGTATCTTAAAGATGGTAATAGCAAGCACTTGAATAGCACTTTCTGTCTTCAAAGTACTTTGCAGACATTCTTTACTTCTGAATTAAGGATGAGTTTCTGTCCCTTTCAACACTTTTCCAATGAGATAAATGTTCAATCTGCCGTGGGAAAGAGACAAAGCTAATGACTCCAAATTCTCCACTGGAATAGGGCCATGTTCTGCTGTTTTGTTTTAGTGGTGTAAAGTGGCCCCGAAGGACGTATGGCTGGTATCACCTCTGCTGGTGGAAATCTTCAGTCTCTATGAAGTCAGATGCCTGTAGCGCTTCTGCCTTCATACAGCTAGTGTAGGGGGTGGGCTCCTACCCACCCCATGTGCTTCAGCCCTGTGCACCATGCACGATGTGAGGGGCAGGGGTATTGAACTGGCGCACAGGTGAGCTCCTGGCTCTGGAGAAGGCTGGGGATGCGTGCGCATCTCTGGGCAGCGGCTCAGCCCCTGTGTGTGAGGGGCCGTTGTCAGATATCCCTCATCCAGCCTTGCAGAGGCAGCCCTGTGTCAGTGAGCTTCTGTGCCCCGGATCGAGGGAAGCATCCATCTCAGAAGATGAAGCCATGCCGCCAGCGTTCATATCATGCTTCCTATCAGTACCCGGTACCTCACAGGGGAACTGATGAGCCAACTGGCAGAGACTGAGGCCCCCAAGTTGGGAACGTCTCCAAATGACCATGTCTGAAGGAAGAGGAGGCTCTGTCCTGTCACTGGCATTGTTGACAAAACTCCCATTGACTCGGAGGAGAGTATGAGGAGGCCCAACAGTGTTGACTTCTGATGTCATCTCCCTGGTTTACTTTGTTTTGCAAAGACCCCTTTGTGCTTCTCTCTCTTGCTTTGTATTCTAAATATTCAGAGCATTTCTGTGCTCAGGGTCCCCATTTGTAATTAGATTGTGTTTGTTGTGACCCTATCACGTACAGGTTGACTAGCAAGTCACACTGATCCTTCAATATGAGATTTAATAAAAGCCACGAGAGGAGGAGGAGGAGGGATGCTATTGTTCTGCCCTCGGCGCTGCCAAACCATCCCTTGTTTTTTCTGTGGACTGTCTGTGTGTTCAAACACTGTTTGAACAAACGGGGCGCAGTCAGGAGGCTGGCGAGAGGGCAGCGAGAGGGTTAGCTGGATCTTAGCTAGAAATACTTGCACGAGTCAGGAAGCAGGCATGGGAGGAAGGAAATTAAGTGGAGACATCTGTGTAGCTTAGCTTTCAGCAGCTCTGCCTGGGGTAGGGGTGGGAGAGTCATGCCCAAGATGACATAACGTATTTTGTCTTTCGTGAGTTGAAAACAGAGGAAACTGCGAAAGCGAAGCATGGTCTGTGTCACGCATGGTCCGGGCATACCAAGTACATAATGGAGCAGTGTCAGTGCTTTCTGCTCTGCCTTTCACACCCCAAAATAACTCTTTAAAACAGAGAACTGAGGAGAATGTGATATGGTCCAAAAACTGATCTTGGACTTTTTTCGCAGACGACTGAGCCAGAGGCCGACTGCTGAAGAATTGGAGCAGAGGAACATACTGAAACGTAAGTCCTGATACTGCTGACATTTAACCTGAAGCCAGCTAGTTTGGATTGGTTTAGCTGTATGTTGGATGCTTTTTATAAAACATCAACTATTCTGTATATGCATCGTTAATAATAATAATGTGCATCATAAATGCAAATAAGTGCGCAAGTCTGTAGCAACATCTAGAGCTGCAGAAACAATTCTTTAAAATCAGAGTCAGTAAATTCACACGAATGAACAATCTATGGGGAAGAAACCCAGACGGTGAATCTCTTTTGCAAGTCCTGTTCCAAACAGAGGATCGGTTATTCTGAAAAGCCTTTATGCGGCTTTACATAGATGAGCATCCCATTATAAGTTAGTAAAGACATTAGGGCATGGCTTGATTAGTTTTCCTAAAAATCTTCACAGCAATCTAGACTAGGTGGAGCCTTTATTCAATTAAAAAAAGAAACCAGTGTGACTCGGGATTATTTCCCTGAAATGTTCCCCTGAAACTCTTCCTTTAAATCAGCCAAAAACTTGCTGGTAGATCCTCAAAACATTAAATGATGTTTTAAAGGGACAAAATACCATTTAGAGAGCCTGGTTGGAGTTAAGTTAGTAGATACGTTGCCACCAGCTTCAAGGGAAGCAGGACTGAGTCTAGCACGAATCTCGTAATCTCATGAATGAATAGGGAAAAAAAATGACAGTTTCTTTACTCACATTGAAGTGGTTTGAATATAAAAATTTTTTTAAAAAAAGCTGTTTATCTAATTGTTGTTACTTTGGAAACAGAAAACAAAAGAAACAAGTTCTTCCCTTTTTAAGTTAGTAAATCCATCATTCCAGGGAAATTTAAAAAAATTACTACAGAAAAAAGTATTTCTAAATGGTACCTTAAAATACCATAAGTCTCCTTACGTAGGTCCATAATTTACAATCTCATGTTGTTCAAATAACTGCCTTGTACAGAATCATAAAAATGTGGTAGCAGAAGATTAATTCTCTGAAAATTAGCAGAATTGGTTGATTAAATACTTCAAAATCAAATTCCTAGCAAGCTAATGATAGTGTTAACACTCAGCAGGGTTTTTTTCATCTGTTCACGTTACTACGCGTGGCAGACAAAGAGAAAGAGAGAGACACCACTGACAACGCAAAGAGGAGAAAAGACCGGACAGCAGAGCGGCACGGGCGAGCCCGAGGCTGCCAGGAAAGCCATTTCTTTGGGGCCAGCCCCCTTTTGATAGTTGTGCTCCTACCGGCTACTCCTAACTCCCTTGCCTGGCTGCTGGAGAAAGTCAGGGGCAGAAACTGGGAAAACAGGTGGCACATCCAGATGTGACTGTCTCACAGGGGGGTGGCAGAACAGCTGGAGGAGGGGGAACCTGCGACGTGACTGATGCCAGGCTCAGGCGAGGAGGGACAGAGGCCAATTCTCTTGGCAGCTTATGTTGTCATCCCGGGACTTGCCACCAGCATGACCCAACATGTGTCATGCACCACCTGGCACTGGTGAGTGACCAGTAAACACTGCCCTGGCACTGGTGAGGGTGGCTGGGGGGAGCTGGGGGTCGCGGGCAGCAGCTTTGGCAGCAGTGTTTGAACTGGCATCAGCAGAGAGGCAGCATCTCCAACACTGGGTACCTTGCAGAGATTCCTAAAGGTCACGTTGCCAAGCGCAGCAGTCACGTAGCAGCCTGAAAATGTCTTACATTTCAGAGGAATTATCTCCTGAATCACGTTGGTTTCTTTTTGAATTGAATAAAGGCTCTTAAATGACATGGATGTATTTCAAGATATTACCCCGAACCCAGAACTATATTGTATTTCCTAAATTGAATTTTTGTAGCTTGGTTCCTAAGCACAGATCTCCCCCAAAACATGGTAGACAAACAACTTCATAATTACAGGAAAAAGTAATGTGGTATTTCTAAGGCATCTCAACTTTTGGTGAAGCACAGCGGGAAAGGAACAAACAATTAAAATAGTTACATCATTAGAAAAAAGAAAGCATAAAAATGCTGCACTCTTAAGCAAGTTAATATAAATAGTGTCTGGTTTGTACAGCATCACTTTGTGTCCTTTCCCTAGACTTCTGAGAAAAAGAATTGTAACAAATATAATAGAACCTAGAGAAAAAGAGACTTAGGAAGCAATAATGAAAAGAGTGTAAATTCTCTACATAAGCAGGTCAAGCTATTTGCAAAAGCCCAGTTCATAGCACACACACGTACAAAAAAAAAAAAAAATCCAGCAAGCTCCCAAGTAAGAGTAAATCGGATTTCCTCTGCAGTGAAAGCTGAAATCTCCTTGATGCAAATGTCATGTCTGGTACCATGATGTGCCTGTTACATGTGTAACCACATTGCTGCCCATTCTGATGGGAAGAAATGAGGCAAAATGCGACTGGACATCCAGTCTTTATACGTTAAGTGATGGCTTCGTACCTCTGTTCTACTGCAATAATTATGAGATGGTCAGCTTTATTGAATTGCAAGGGCAAAGTGTCCATTGCACAAGTTCCACTGCTTGCTGGTAGCAACAGTAAGATTACAGCAGCCACAGCAAAGAAACCGAGAACAGGGACACTGGTGCTTGAAGGGTCCTTCACTGAAGCATACCCAATTCACTGACTCTTATTTAAGTCAAAGGCATGTAGTGAGAGGAGTCCAGACCTGCAGGGTTAGTGCAAAGGCTAAAGAACACTTTTTGCAGTTAATACTTGCTGGCCAAGTTCATGAGGAAGGATGCCTGAATCCTCCTCACACACCACCCCCGCCTTCTCAGATGGATACAAGTACTTCAGCTGTCAGTCTGGCACATTCAGGGTTGCATAAATTCCTCACAAAAATGATGGTTAGGTAGGCTCAGAGGGTCTCAGACTGTGCTGGGGGACATTTCACAGGCCTGAAAATCAGGCCTGAAAATCACACCCACACCCACCCACCCACCCTCACATGGACAGGTCTAGGGAAACAGAGCATCTCCTGAACACATAAGATAAAATAAAGCAACAATTTTGTAGCTTGGCAAGATTGGCATGACTTAATTAATTTTAATGACATAGCTAAAACAAAGGCACTTTCTGGTTTCAGAGGAGAATGTATTTGTAATTCCCAGCTTTTACCTGACGGAAGTCTTCAGCCTGCCTGGCTGTCTCTGAGGGTGGGTGGCTAGGCTGAGAAGTGAGGAGAAAAGGAAGACATTGTATGCCAAGTACAAAAATGAATGGCCATAACTAAGTTTTATACATAACTCTTCAGCTGCTTGCAGTTCTACCCTAGCTCTGTTTAGCGCTGTGTCTCTCTGGCTTAATCTTACAAGGATTTATTAGTGGCTCTGCTTCTGAGAGTAGGCATTTGCAGGACCAGCTCCTCCAAATTTGAGACACAAAGGGAAGAACAAAATTGCTAGAGGAACAATTGCCAGAAGAGAATCCAGCCCAGTAGGGACAGGAACCATTGAAAAAGGAAAAATATATTTATCAGTGTAGATATTCCAGTTAGCATTTAAAAAGCCATTTGTGACTCCCTGCTGTCTTCTGTTCTTTCTACTCCAGTATCAATTTCCTTCCTCCTAAAAATGTAAGCAGTATTTTTGGTAAAACGGCATTTAAAGATCAGAAGCGTATTGTAAAACATCATAACATTGACTGGCTCTTTGACCACTTTGGTGGAGATTTCCCAGTCCAAAAAAAGTGAGCCGTTGTGATAGACCTGTCAGCTCTACTGTCCTGAGCAGTGAGAAACCTGGCTTCCTCACCTGCTCAGAGACTTCTGTGGTCTCTGAACCTTAGGTCTTATTTCTGTGTGGGGAAAGCCCCAATTTTGAATGCGTTGGTTTGAAACGTTGCATCTCCTCCACTGTGGGCAGACTTCCATTGGATTAGGACCTCCTTATATTGTTTTTGGCTTGTCCCAGTTGGTTAGTGGGAGTGCTGACCTGTGATCTCTTGGCTGAAGAAGTTACGGCTGGCGGCTTGTTGCTGCCACTCTGCCAAGGGTGCCTGCTTCTCCCGCAGGATCAGTGGAGAGGAACCTGGCGTTCCCCCTTGGGTTTAATTCAGTCCAAAGTTGGATAATTTAAATCAAGCCACCTATCCCAAACTGGCCTTTAAGGTCCATAATCTTCCCTGCAAAGAGTTATTCCTGCCTGAAGGAATAACTATTCCTGAGCTAGTCCTATCTGAGTGAAAACCGGATCACACCAGGGGCACAGGGTACTTGTTGGAAAAGCCGATGAGCTGTGTTTGCTCTCACCTGTTATGCGTGGGCGTGATTGGAGTAAGGAGCAATTCAGCCATCAACGAAGCAGTGGAAAGGGATCCTAACTGATTGAGGAACTGGGTACCTAGAAACCTGGGCTTTTAGTGACTTTCAGTAAAGTTCAGTGGAAAGACACGCATGACAGCCTGCTCCTAAGTTGAAGAAGAGTTAGTATACTCAAATGTTATTGTCCTCTTGAGGGATAATGGTTGACACTTGCCCTGTTAAGTACTTGTAACGTGATCTTTTGGCTTAATGTTGAAAGTGGATTGCCCTAGGATGTGCTTTTACGCTCCAGTGCTGTGAAGGCTCATGATGGAAGGACACTCTCTCCTTACTCTGCTCAGGTCATGGGAAGTTGCAGATGTTGCTTGGCACCCCTGTTCTGAATTTTTTTTCCATTCTCTCCAAAGAGTAGCTGCAGAGAAATTATTCTGTAGATGGAGAAAAAAAATGCGTGTTTCTTTTCCAACCATTGACCTTGCAGCCTCGCAGAATCTGACCGTATCGTAGATGAACCCCCCCTGAGGCCACCAGGCCTGTGGGCAGGGAGATAACAGTTTCTGAAGAGCTGGCTCACTGCCTGGCCCTTCTAGAAAGTGACACACATGAAGAGGTGCCAACACAGGGCAAGGAAGGAGACTAGATGTTTTATGAAGTGTGTGAAGAAGTGCAGTAGCTACGGATCGAGGAAGTTCACCAGCCCCAGAGGGACATGCTGTGCATCAGAGAGGTCCTGAAACATTAATATGCTGATGGAGAGGCTTATTTTGTTGCATACTGTGCATGCCTGATGAGTCCACAACCTGAGATCCTTGTAAATCTTTTACAGCCCGGAATGAGCAAGAGGAGCAGGAGGAAAAACGAGAGATAAAGAGAAGATTAACACGTAAGGTGAGAAGCAACTTCGATCCTATTATGCCACTACTGTAACTTTCTCCCTACTGCACAGTTGTTTGCCTTTTTTCTCTTCCTAGCACCATTTTCAAAAGTAGAGTGTGAAACAAGTCTTCAATCTTTAGAAGAAATCACCCATGTTATAGGGTGTAAGTCCACAGACAGTGAAGAGAACCACTTTGCAGGCTATTGCTGGTAACATTTTGAAACTGGACAAAAGAAGATCTAGTCTTTATAACAGAAGGAGTTTTGAACAGTGAAGGATACAGAGCCTAGCGAGCACCATTTTCAAAAGTAGTGTGTGAAACAAGTCTTCAATCTTTAGAAGAAATCACCCATGTTATAGGGTGTAAGTCCACAGACAGTGAAGAGAACCACTTTGCAGGCTATTGCTGGTAACATTTTGAAACTGGACAAAAGAAGATCTAGTCTTTATAACAGAAGGAGTTTTGAACAGTGAAGGATACAGAGCCTAGCATTGGTCTAACCCTGCTCCCTGTAAATGTAATGGCTTCTGCAGCCATTACAAAGAGAGAGCAAAGTTAAAACAATGCTGATTGCATTTGAAGATTCCACTTGAAAAAGCATTAAATTGGGAAATAAACTTTTTCTGGAAAAGGAGATCGTCATTTGAGGCATTTAAACTAAATAGATACAAGCGCTCACAAAATGGTGTATAGTGCAAAAAACGATCTTGTATTGGCAGGGAAGGACGAACAAAACAGCACAGTTTGGTTTGGGGTTTCCTCCCATTTGAAAGTCATTTAATCTTAAAACTGAAGAACAGTCATTTCAGACACATACGTTCCGTTTCGCAGCTGGTGTAAATGTCTACAGATGCCCTGATACACATAGCCAACAATCCGTCCTGTTATTGCAGATAAACTTTATTTCACCACTGACATATTTCCTATCTCCAGAGGTGGAGAAAGCCCCCTAAAAACTCAATTGCTTGCAAAGCAGCACCAACCCCTTCCCGTACATTTTTAGGTGGCTTAGTCTGTTTGACTTATGTGATCACAAGCTTTCATGGTACAAATAATGACAAGGAAAGGGCTCTAAATATACATGCAAAGGTTACATTCGGAGAGCTGGATTGTTTTATTTTATGGTTAAAAATCTCACGCCTTATTCTCAGCTCATGTAAGTCAGCAGAGTTCTCCTTCACCAACGGGAGGATACTGCCGTTGTCTGCAGGAGCTAAGAATGCGTCCCCGGGAGCTATAATATTATTCTTTTAAATGCTTAAATCTGTGACAACAATGGCAGGGATGGTCTCGTAGCATCCCCTCGTAGCACTGCCTGAAAGAAAAGATCCTAACTGCATTGCAGGTGTTTCATGGGACTTACGCTCTGCGCAAAGGCTAGAAATACCGTTTTACCAGGCTTTTGATTTCCCTGTACATTGAAGGGTAAACACGTACAGGAATCCAATCCAAAGCTTGATCCCATTTGATGAACGGCTGTAAGAGATAAAAAGCAAAGCTACCCATACCCAATCTGCTGCCTAAGAAATGGAGGGTTGCTAACCCAGCCAGCATTATCACCGTGCGGTTCCCATCCTCTGCTATCTTGTAGGAAGGTGCAAAGCACATGAATTGCCTGTTGCAGACAGAGGCCACAGCTACTCGCTAAACTAAAACGCCCAGGCTGCTGTAGCATCGCAGCAGTGTCTGCTCCCTGAAGCCTCAGCAGTCTTCTATAAGATTTCTTTCTTTGTCTTGGTTGCACTTTTAAGTAGGAACAACAGCGAGAGCAGCGTCAGTCCGAGCCCCTGGCAGTCGGCTCTTTAATGTTCATACCCCTGTTCCCAGTCACATTCCTTTTAGCCTTTTTTGGTTTCTTCCCTAGTAAAGATTTTTCTCCCCCACGTTTGTGAGATTGGTAGCAACATGGCTTAGCATTGTTTGATTCTGATCATCTTTTTAAACTGTTGTAAAATGTTCTAGTGACACACAGTAATTTTCATGAAAGAACCACAGGCCTGATCTAAACACAAACTTTGTTCTCACCTACCAAACATACTGTTACAAAAGCTCAGGAATCACTAGAGGAAGGAAGTGAATAAAGTGTGCAAGCAGATAGGTAACAACTAGAAAAGCCAACCACCTAGTGAATCCTGCAAAAATTGTTGTTATTCCCCAGCCCCGTCTTTCATGAGCATGTCCCAGATGTGTCGTTGTGTCTACAGCAGAGTGGCAGGCTCCTTCTGTCAATTTGTACTGAAGTCTTATTACCAAAGGATTTTAAACCTCAGATCAAGCAGAAGTTTAATTGAGCACGGCAAGTGTTTTGCCCAGCAGACCTTTCTGTTTGCACTGAGGTTTAATGCACACACATGCCTACAGGGTAAATTCAACATAAGGAGAGTATACCACGTTGCCTCCTTGTAACCACGTGTGGTTGCTAATAAGAAGGGAAGGGGGTTCTGCAGAAGCCGCTGAAAAGACTTTTGACCTTGCACTATAGAAATTGCTACTGTCCCCGATTTTTTGGTGGCATTATTCCAACTCCAAGGGAACAACTCACTTCATCCGTTAAAAAGCTGTTCTTAAAATTCCTTCAGCACTGACATTTTGTTACAGTATTATGATGATAAGTTGTAACATGACATGCTGTAATAAGTAAGATTACCTTGCTAGGTCTAGATGCTTTATTAAAGTCAGCAATAAATATCCAGTTGAATTCATCATCTGGACAGGCAATTTCTAAAAAAAAAATTTTAAAAAAATCAGGTGACCTATAGCGAGCTGCCCCTTTAAGCACTTTTCATCCTTTCAGATTCATCTAACTCCAAATTAACTGGGCATAGGGAATAGCTGCCATTCAAAGAACAAAAAGGAGGCAAATGCTACTCGGTACAGTTTCTCTGTAGCTCCTGCCCGAGGAAGCCTGTCACCTGGGATGCCCATGGATGGGTTCCACACATCCAGCCACCCCGTGCTCCCTCTCCCTGCCCCTTGGGGCCCACCGAGCAGCTTGCTTTGAGTGGAGGGATATGTGGATTAGGAAAGGATTTCTCTGAGCACTGGTCTTGACCCACAAGCCCATTCCAGGAATTTTAACATGCGGAGGCCCTCTGGGAGAAGTGTAGCAAGCGGGTCCCCTCCACGAGGAGATCTGGGCCCCCAGGAATTACTACTAAGAATTTATCCTCTCTGAACCGTGGTGAATTTGGCCGAGCACCAAGGCAATTAACACCAGCCTGAACTCTCCCTGAGGACTTCCATTACAGAGAGAGAGAGTCATAGCCTGGATTAACAGAACACATTACAAATCACTTGCAAAGAGGAATAAAACTCTTCTTTTCCTACCTTCCCTTGTCTCAAATAGCATCATGCTCCCCATTCCCCAGAGCTGTTTACTGCTTCCTATCCCCCACTGTCAATAGCTAAGTTTTCCCAAGGTCTAGCTTCAAAACTAAAGAATCTCTTAGCAGTAATAATGACAACCAAAGTGATGAGGTATGGCTATTTCTTAAAATCCATGCAATAATCTGAACTCTTTGCTCCCATTAAATTCCTGCCCCAGTACAACTTAAACTCTCTGTTCACTGGAGAGCAAGCTGGTGCCTCACTGGGAAATGTCTTGCTGTTCAATCTTTTCTTTAATTGACCTCCACTGGCTTGCATCAGCACAGGCTGTTCAAAATAATGAACTCTTGAGAGAGGTGGGACTCGTTAGAGGGAGGTGAGAGGAAGGCGGGGGGAAAAAGGTCAGAGAAGAAAAAAGGTCAGCAGCTAATTTGGATAAACTGCATTTATAGTCAGAGAGAAAGGTCTTTGGGGCATTTTCATCACATCCTGCTCCTATGTCTTACCACAAAAGGTGGGGAGCAAAGGAGAGAGGGGGTTGTGTGCGCTGCTAGTTAGGATCTGTATTTTTCACCTTGGTTTCTTCCCTAAATAATAACCATAACATTTTAATGAGGTAACAAAGCAGGCAATGATGAAGTGGCAAGACAACGAGCTTCCCTGTGACTGAAGTGGAGCAAACTCAGCATTTCACATTTGACTAAATCCCAAGACCAGCCTGGCAAGAGTACGTCCCCCTCCACTTTACCTGGTAGCGGTGCTTGGGTTTGCTTCATTTCTCATGCCGAGAACAAAGGGGTTTGTGTTAAACCTTCCCTTGCAAATTGGCTCAGTATCAAAGCTTGAAACGTGCCCATTTTTATCTCCAGTGATCCAGAATATACAGAGGAAAACTTGACCTCCCGTGAGGTCACATGGGAGGTCCTGTCCTCATTTACACTGCTTTCGCATTAAAACAAATCCATTTACTTTGAAAGGGGTTTTTGCCCTGGTTCATACTCAAATAATGAGGTCACTCGCCATAAAGTTGCCTTGCTCCCTCAGCTCACAAATCTTCACAAATAGGTGAATAGAAATGTATATACCAAGGAGGTACACCCAGAAGTCCAGACACACACATGCACATGCCTCTGACATTAACACAAGTAACTAAAAAAGGGTCCAGCTCAGTGAGTGAGATCCCTTTCTCCCCGCGTGGAGCACCACCGCCTTGTGCAGGCAATTGCATCGTGTCCTTTTACTGTACGTTTTGAACGTGCCCTGTTCTTTCTGCCTGTTAGAAGAAGCAGAGCTCATTCTCAGGTGTTGCCCAAGAAGGATTGTGTAGCATTAAGCAATTTTGACCCAAGAGACCACAGCTCTCAGGCCATAAAAATAAACTCCAAGGTGAGATCTCAGGTGAGCTGTGCCCTTATCGTGAACAGACATTGCACTGACACCTGCAGTGGAGCCACTTAGAGTCTCTTAGCAAAGCTGTTTTCCCAGCTATTTTAGAGTTAAGGGTGCTCTGGGTAGCTCAGACATACTGAGAGACCCTCATGCTTAGCAGCTCACAAGAAATCTCAGCAGTGGCATGAGAAAGAGGCAGGGCAGTTTGTTAACTGTTCAAATAATGTAGCTTTAATTAATTGCTTTTAGAAAACCACTCAGTGTGGTTGTCCCTCTCTTTTCATTTAGTATGATCAGATCAGCACTTTGGTTTAATGTACTGAATATTTTGTGTGTGTGTGTATTTATATGTGTAAATATATGTAGATATATGCCTATACATGAACTATGTGGTATAAGGTGTGGATTTCAGGACTCTCTTTCACAGTCAGAGCACTGGCACGAGATTCAGTGCATCTTTTGTCTGTTAATAGCTCTGCCCCGGGTCCCCTGGGTCACCTTGAGCTGGTTGCTCGGTCTCTGCGCTTCGCTTGCTCCAACTGCTCTGTGGGGAAGGAGACGCTGCCCACCACTCTGACAGGGTGTATAAGTACCTGAAATTGCTCTGGTTGTAGGTTTCTGAAGGAAAGGCAGGGCATCTAAAAATAATACACAGTAATAGTTGTATGACTTCAGAGGAAGAGAAGCAGCAGCTTTTAGTCTGTCTTACGTTCAGGTGTCACCTAAGAATGAAATTGCACATTAACAGCAAAGTTTCACAATGTGCTTATGCCCTTGACATTTTTTCCTGTATAACTCAGTGCACTGTTCTTCACGCCCACCGAAGGGTACAGTGTGTTTCAGTGCTGCAAAATGTGCAGGTGATGCACCTAATTTGGTTTTTGTGCATTTGCGAACGTGAGAACTTACCTCAGATTTGTCTCATTTCATCATGTGGCCCTTAACATTTACTGTCATTCCTTTGATTTTAACCCACACCCAGCGCACCAGGAAGCCAAATTAGCTGTTTAAGACCCAGTGCAGCATTGAGGTAAATACCAGCAGTGAATTCACATTGCTGGCAAAAGTACCACTGCCTCGTGGTGGCTCTTGGTGCTCTTGTGCTCTTGACACCACCTAGACATGAGTCTGGCACAGCATGCTTCAGTATATCAACAGCCACCTGCCTTCTCCTTTGTACAAACTTGCTAATCACTTAGATTAGCACAAACATGAAAGCCGGCTAATGTCAAGAGCTGACAGAAGCTGTGAAATAGAGCCAGTCATTTTGTGAAAGTCCTCTTCCAGCTTGGAAAGCTTATAGGAGCTCCTGCTTCCCTTGTAGCCATTTAGAAACACAGAGTTTAATTCACAGGATTTTGTATTTTGTTGGTGTTGTCTTACTCCATGTAACAAGACATTTTATTTTTTAAAAAACTCCATCCTAATTTGAAACAACATCTAGGCTATGTCCTAAAATGATAAAAGCTGAGAAATGTATGATAATATTGGTGATTCATCCTTAATTCTTGCTGTTGTGAGAAAAGCAGCAGTTGATACAAGTAAAGATGGAGCCTCACCCCTATCTTTGAAATTTTGAGGTGTAGTCATAATATTATTTCAGCATAAAGATTCTCTATTCCCATAGTCAGGGCTTAGATTTTAAATAATCAGAAGCAAAATTCTGCTGTGCTATCTGAGTAATAATGCATCAGCGCTAACAAACCTGCAGCTCCTAGCAGTAGGGCTGCTAGAAAAACCTAGCAATTTGAAATCACATTCAAAATGAGTTGTAGGTCAGAGAGAAGCCTCCCTCATAGCATAACTATGGTTAAGCATGGTAATAGCAGTTTGGTTTGCTTGCTTTTTAAAAGCCTGTCTGTTAATGGCAGTGTGTATTTGGCTTGCAGGTGACTTAGGCATAGGTATCAGGGCTGCAGGCTGAAGAGACAATTCTCTTCTGCTAGTGTGAAAAGTAACATTTTTAAATCTATACGTGTTTCGAGCTGCTTTATTGTGCCCTCTGGCTTTTCTGACGTGGTACTCTAGCTCACAGATAGGTTTGTCCTGTTGTCTAAAAAAAAAAAAGGTTATGCCTACTGTGTATGCATTTTGGTTTTAAAAAAAGGTCCCCAAAACCTGTCGTCTGAGTTCAGAAAGTCATGCTTCTTGCTAACCTCACTGCATGGCTGGCCTGAACGTGGATATATAAAATGGGGCTTTTCTTGGGAGACTCTTGGAAGAAACAAGAGGAGGCGTATAGATGTTGTGAGACAAACACATGCGGAGAAGCTCACCCCAGGAAACTTCATGCCTCCCATAGAAGAAGGTGGGTTTGAGAAAACTGTCTATTTTTAAGATCTTTGCAATATTCAGAAGTTTGAGAGTTGCTTTTTTTCAAACCAGCAAGGAGTTTTTCCCCTATTACATGTTGTAATTTACCCTAAAATGGCTATGGAGACAACACATGAACTGCCAAGCTGCGACTTGACTGATGGCAGCTGTCCTAGGCAAGGGCATTACGTGGCAGTGTAGAGTTGTGCTCCTGGTTACCCTTTCTTTCCGAGATTTCTCTCCCTTCAGTGTGTGCAAAATGGCTGGGCTGCAGCCAGGAGGGGTAGAACGTGATTCCTGTCCCTGAGCATCTCACAGGCGGGGCATTAGTGCAGCTCTGCATGAGGTGTTTGAACCCAGTTCATAAGTGCATGCTCAGGGCTATCCATGTGAGGAGAGCAGCCCCACCATCACCTCCCGTCGCAACCATCTTTCCTAAAAAGAGAAGAGAGAGGCAACCATCCATGCCAAGAACAAGCACACAGGGATTTAAATCCAGAGGCAGGATGGGGCAGCAGAGCTATCTTGCATCAGCACCCAAATGCTGGAGAAATGTGGGATTTCAAGCATGTGCTTCTCTTTCTTGTGATCTTGCAAATTTTTCACCCTCCACCTAGCATCCTGGTGGTTCTGAATCTTAATTCTCCCTGGAAGATGAAATGCAGGGAACCAAGATACTTATTTTGGGAGGAAGGTGGAATTGCATGTCAGGATCCAGGAGCCTAAATACCTTTGCAGAACAGAGTCTCAAGCATTTTATGAAATATGTAGACCTTTCACTATTCACAAGGGTGAAATATTACAAAACACACCTATTTCTAGTGAGTGGGAATAGCATGATATACTGTCTAGCTAATTGTTAGCAGGATATTATTTTTTCTGCTACATCATGGTTACAAATGCTTCACTCTAATAGTGAAACTTTTGCAGCTAATGTACAGCCACATGCACACATATATGTAGAACCTTCTTCAGAAACGCTTGTGTAACTGCTTTTGACATTAACCAACATGCTGTGCATCCAAGGAGAATTGATTCCTGAAAGCCAATTCCTGTCCCTAGCCATGTAACCGGCTGTACAATACGTGGACTACCAGCACACTACTGTCTCTAAATTGAGAGGAGAGTTTTGACTGTGGCTGCCTATTCTGCTGTGGAATTTGAAAGAAATGCTTTGGAACAATGAAGGTGCTTTCTTGACATGATACAATCCACCCTTGCAATTTTTTTTCTCGGCTTGTAGTATGCAATGTAAACTGTTAAAAGTCAAATACGCTGTGACACAAAATTGAGCTGCAGCACGCAGTGAAAAGTTCAATGAGCAATAGTCATCATCACCCTGCCTGCCTTTTCTGGAGGTAAGGACAAGTCTGCAGAGTATCAGAATGGCAAGGGACGTTGTTTGTCACCTTTTGCACGTAATTCAGGGCAGGATCTGCTTGGTGCCTTTGCCTGACTCTTCTCAGGCTGGGGAGCGTACTGCCTGTGCAGGTAGTTTTAAAGTTGTGTTGTGGTCTTCGTCTCTTCTTGAGACATCAATGCACTGGGAGACTTTCTTGCATTACATCTTATTTCTGCCAGGGGTGACCAACCTCAGCCAGCAATTGGGGTCTCCAGCCACAGCTGCTTCCCAAGCAACAGTGGGCTGCTCCGGCAGCAAGGTGGGATGATATTCAAGATGCTATAACAAGAGGTTGTCTCCCAAGTAGCAATTCCTTGAAAGGTTGATAAAACCAACGATACTGGGAATGTCTGAACCCTCTTGTTATCATAACGTCTGTTGTAGTAAAATAAATACCCAAGCAGCACTCTGCAAGAAAAAAGTGAAGTCCTGATGTCTTTTTCCACTCCTTCCTCAAACCTGCAGCTGAGTCAAAGGCCCACGGTAGAAGAGCTACGTGAGAGGAAGATCCTCATCCGCTTCAGTGACTACGTGGAAGTGGCAGACGCACAGGACTACGACAGGAGGGCGGACAAACCCTGGACACGACTCACAGCTGCTGACAAAGTAAGTGAAGCCATGGCTCGGGAGAGCCATGATCTAAGCATGTCGCAGAAAACGGCATCCCTCAGGTCCCACAGGTCCCACAGCCATCAAGGAATAAACCTCCACTTGAGTTCCCTTCCCAGCACACCTGTGTTTTCTTCCTATTGACAAGGTTTGTTGTTTGAGTCATAAATCTTTGGCAAGAAGGCTCCTATATGCATGGAAACCAGGAGCAAGCCTAGCAGCATTATACCACTTAAACAGAGAGGGGAGAATATCAAGCCCTTTGGGGAAAGGTCTCGAACCCTGTTACTTGTTTGTTGGTTTTGCTCTTGCCACATAATGCTGCCAGCTGAGAGCTCCTGCAAGACCTAGCAGAGCAGTGTGACAGCAGCACTTGCCAGAATTGCTATGCCAGGACGGAGCAGGCCTGGGTGCAGAAATGGCAGCAGGTCAAATAATTGGCAAAAGCACCTCCCACCGAAGCCAGATAACTTCTCTCTAGTGTGTTACGACAGGGGTGTTCACTCAGGATTTCTGCCCCGTTCCACAGAGTATTTTAAGCACTAAACTGAAATCGCAGGAGCCCTGCAGATGAAGAAAAGCTGTGTATTTGGTATCGAGTGCGCTGTCCTCTGAGCATCAGTGGGACCTTCACCAAGTGATGTCTCTGGTGGCAGCACTGGTGGCAGAGGAGTTAAATTGCTGGCAAATTATAACAGTCATATCCTGAGGGTCTTAATGGTGCCTCAGGAAGAAGACTTAAACATTTTATGGCCACTGTAAGAAAAGAGGACTGCGTGGCTGATCAGTGACTCCCATGCTATGATGCCCATGTAATTTTAAAGACTTTCAGGTATCCGACTATTTCTTTGCTGTGGGACTCATGCAGCGACAGAGACCATGATGTCCAATGTTTAGAGACAGGAGCAGGATTCCTGGCCATGCCACTCATTTGTGGTGCTCTTGGTTTTATTCACAGAGGAAAGGGCAGCCTGTTCTATTTGTATAATTTAACCAAAGGACTTGTATAGTTTTGTGACCACTGTCTGGTGGTTTTCTCCTTGACAGAGGGCTTTTTCAGTTTAGCTTTGGATTAACTGCATTAACTTTAGCATAAACTGATCTGAAAAAAAACTTCCTCTGGACTGTCCACTTGGTTAAATTAGGTTTTCCCATTTTACCTCACCACGTTGGACAAGATCTTACTCAACTGACTTAGTTATATTCTCCCAATTGGTAGATGAGGGAGGGAATAAATCTCCAACTGGTTCTGCAGCCATTGAGAGATCCCTGTCTGGGATGAAAGGCATGGAGAGACTTCAGCTGGGAAAGGAGAAGATTTGGTGTCCAGAGATGTCCTTTCTCATCCTGTGTCTGTGAAGAGAACAAGTATTAAATACCGCTATTAAATGTAGCCTGGCAAAGAATTCAGTATTAAGGCGAAGTACTCTGAGGTCCCTTTTTCTTTTTTATAATGCATGGGCAAAGTCAATACACAGAGCAAAGGGCTTAAGTTCTCCAAGTGAACCTTTCCTAAGCAAAGCAGGAGGAGAAATGTTTGTCATTCTAATATTAATTCCCCTTACGGCATAAGGAAGCAGATATATTATTTTTGGGGTTTGCGTCATATGGGTGGTATTCTGATTTCTGCTGTTCAGATGACCTGCTTTTCCCCACCACTGTGTCCACGGTTGGAAAAAACAGCCAGACAAATTGGAAGCAACTCTAAAATTTCTGACAAAGCTGCAACATCCTATAAAAGATTATTTTCTTCCAGAGCTTTGATTCAATAAGCGTCTTCATTGGTCAGCACAGGCTAGATTTATTGCAAAAATAGATTTTAGTAATGGACTTTTCTGTTTGTCAGTAAATCTTGCTCTGTGTGCTGGATGTAGGGAACTGCCTTCAGTCTGACTTCATCTTTACCAGGTCTGACTGTTACAGGAATAAAAAGGGCACTTTTAAAGCGCTCCAACAGATGAGGGATGCAGGGGAAAGGCTTTCAGAACTTGTGGGAGTCAGCAGCCCGGGTGGCCTCCTTCACAGTCACTTAAGCAGCAAATTGGTCTGCTGAAGGTAGGCCCTTGAGTTGCTGCATAGCCATCGCTCTGCCCTGATAGATGGAGGCAGAGCCTGAGAGACGTTTCTAAGGTAAATAAAAAACGAAAGCTGGGCAGAAGGAGCACAAGGGGCCTTTTCTGTAGATCACACTCGCAAAATCTATCACTTAGGGCTTGTCAAGGCAAAGGTAGTTGGTGACTGGATCAGTGGCTGTTGCAAAAGCCCTGTTTCGGGCTCGTGCTCTTCATACTAGTTTAGATTTCCTTCATGGAGAAAAATTCCTGACAGAGTACCACCAACCGGAGCACCCACTTGCAGCTGCTGATGCTGATTTCAGCATCACACGGAAAGGCAGTGGCACACACCGTGGACCCGTGGGAGCATTTGGCTGCAGCAGCCGCCTTGCACATCCTCTCCGTATGCTCACAGTGAAACCCAGTTGTGAGCTACAAATATCACAGGGCTGTCAGAAGTCTTGATTTTGGGGCTTGGGACTTGAGCCAGTTCTGCTGAGCACCCTCTCTGACATGAAGCTGAGTCCCTCCAAGTCACCCCTTCTTTTTTTTTTTGTCTTCAATATTTCTCTTCCTACCAGTCACCCCTGGTTTTCTTTTCCCTCATGGACAAACCACAGAGGCTGTAGGTAACTGGGTCTCCTGCAGGTGCTGAATATGACCGTCGGTGGCTAGTTTTCTCCTGGATTAGTGCTTTGAATTGGTTCAGTAAATGGCACAGCTGGGTCAGAAGGGAGGAGGAGGGCAGAGGGGCACAGCCCGAGGCAGAGAGGAGGGCAGGGAGCCAGGCATCCCTCTTTGCCTCCCAAGTAAGCCCAGCCACTTTAGGTAACTTCACCCGAGGAAATTCAGGACCGCATAAAGGCAGGAGACATCTCAAATATGAGTCCGACAGGATCCAGGCCCAGTTTACTCACAGTCCAGCTCTGAAACAGATCTGTTTGAGAAACTCAAACAGTGTTTGAGAAACTCTGGTGCACATTTTTTTTCTCATGCTTATGCTAATTTGAATTTTGTACATGAAAGTGTTTACATAATGAGCCAGAATTGGGTTCTGTATCTGCGTTGTCTACGATGTATTTTCAAATTCAGCCATTCCACCGAAGCATTTATCTCTTCCCTGTATGTGATTTAGAACATGTTTATCTCTGTTCCTTTTCACATTTTAAAGTCTTTTTTATGTTATTCTTTCTCTGTCTGATAATGTTATCTATCTGCTGCACTTTTAATATACTGTTTTGAAAGCAAAGTGAATTTATTTTGATCTCTCTCCTTTATACATTTATGAGTTTATTTGTCCTTTGCAGGCAGCCATTCGAAAAGAGCTTAATGAATTTAAAAGCACTGAAATGGAAGTTCATGAATTAAGTAGGCATCTAACAAGGTAAGCTGAGATTAATTTTTTAAGACTATCAATGAATGCTGTTGTTTTCAAAAAAAAAAACCCAGTGGCTGTTTCTCCAACACCCACTGAACACACCATGAGGTCTAAACAACATTTAGAATTACAGGCTGTAAAAGAAACTCGCACAGACGAACTCATGCTGCCTCATTACATGGCAGTATGCAGGCACGTGCCCTCTCTTTAATGAAGTGGAACCTCCTTATTTTATTTTTTATATCATCATGCTCTAGCTGCATGTCTGTTCTTCTGATATCAAAAGTAAATAGTGTTGGTGTCTGAAGGAGGACAGGAAGGTATTGTAGAGCCAGTACGTAGCAAGGTATGAATGAGTGTAGACTCAAACCCCGCTGAGCGTACATTCCGCACTACGCACGTGTCCTGGTTGCGGCTGGGATAGAGTTACGTACGTTCCCCGTTCCACACTGAGCACATCCCACGCACAGATCTCTCAGTCCTGCCCTCCACATCCTGCCATAGGCGATGCAGTGGGGAAATAGCAAGATCAGCATTATTTTTTACACTTTTAGGCCTTTTTCAGTTAAAAAGGTAGAGACTGAATGAATTATCCGTGACCCCAAACTAACAACCCTCCTCTCTGACAGACTGCGGCCGAGGCACGCTGGGAGGTCAGGGCATGTCCCCTCACACAGCCTGTGCTGAGTCTGCTCTGGCTTTGATGCCGAGATGAACTGAACTTTGGGCATTTCAGCTGAAGTCAGGCCTTTGCAAATCAACATTAACCCCCACTCACTGTTAGTCGTTAAAGACAAGTGTTAGTATTGAAGACAAGTGAGAGTGAAATCTGGTGCAAAACTGGAGCTGCCCTTGTATTAATACGTTCATCAGCTAGGTGCTCATAAAAAATGCAGTTAATACTTTTAAGGAAAATGCAGAAAGGCTCAAGGCAAAATTAATTTTGTATTAGGGGATTTTTATGTGTATAAATTAATAATTATATTAAAATTCACCACATGTATTATGCATACATTCCCTTGCAGAAACGATCTCCCTTTTACTTCCTAGCATGTGCTGGGATGGTTGCACTGGGGTTTGTAATAACGGAGAGCTGCTAGAGACAAGCCAGCTGCCTTAGAGCCACGAGGTCTGGAAGAAGCTTTAGGGTGTGCAGTTGGCCTAGATCTGTTGACCCCGGTGACTGAGCCTTTGAGGCACATTTGGCTCACTCCTCCAGGAGAGCAGTGACAAATTTAGAAAGGATGAGGCTGCTTTAAAGGGGGTGTTGCTACAAGGAGTTGAGCTCCATTGAGAGCTCCATTGATTTCCATGAGGCCTTTAGCATCCCACAAACGTAGAGAACAGTTTAGGTTTCCAGAAGTCTCTCCAGATGCTTGGCTTTTGCAGGTTTCTGGGCAGTTTTGCATCTCTTCCAGTGTTGGGGTGAGCAGTGACCCTCTGAGATGACTCAGTTTGTTTTTGAAAGCCACTGAGTGGCTTTGACTCACTAAGTCTGGGCCAAGCATACTCAGAGGTATAGCTAATATAATAGAAATTGGAATAAGGGTTTGTCTGAA